TATATATATATGCGCTCACTGCCGCCTCCCATCGCTTCATCCCAGTCGTCATGGTAATAACACCGGCGAAGGACCGTCGCAATATCATGCTGCACGCCTACGACCTGGGCATGACGAAAGGCGACTACGTTTTCTACACTATGGAGATGATCCCCGACGATGACGTCATCGATGCGTCAGAGACGTGGTGGGGTACAGACAACCGCAACGAGGAAGCGAGGCAGGCGTTCGAATCCGTATTTCACGTAAGCGTTTAGCCGACATTTTCACACACCGACGAATTGCCTTGAAGTTGGTGCTAATGACAAATATTGCTTAAACCCTGATCACACTATAGGAAAATCAGCATGTCTATACACGCTGTTAACAAAGCGACCTCTGATATGAAAACTCTTGCGTAGGCTAAGCCCCTAGTCCTTATGATGGTGACGACAAACCATAATTCGATAGATAGCGGTGGGAAACACATAGAAATACATAAAAACTGGGAAAATTGATGCAAAATACGTCCCTGTGTGATCTCTTTCACAGATCAGTCTCGCTGCCTTGACTGGAACGCAGGTCAACCAGTTCAGAGTAGAAGTGGCTACGCGCATGCGCCGTCCACCGTGGAAGGACTACATGTCAGAACTCTGGATGGATAACATGGTAACACACGCGGGGATGCTTGGGGTGCGGCGTAGAATGTTTTTTCGTTCGTGGGAGGTGACATGACCGTGAATAAATGCCCACGTCAAGCAAAAGCTATAATTGGATTTTATCAGAGTTTTATTTTTACATATTCCGCAGTAACTAAATCAAAATGCAACTACTCGTTCCACCGAACCCAAGCACTGCAATATTTCACCGAATACCAACGTTGTTAACATAGCGTCATGGCCATCCGTTATGTATTAGTAACTCCGCTTGTCATGTATAGTAATGTCTGGATTAAGACGATATTTCATCATGACACTGAACACGAAAGAGAGGTTAACCTTCTTCAGAACCAGACATATTGCTTGCAGCCCAAGGTTTATTGAAGATCTTCCGTCGTTAATGGACCGTCTGCTATCTTTTTAAGGGAGACAAGTATTCGCCGTTTCTACACGACGCTGTCATTCTATACGCTCTGTCGTTAAACAAGACATTGACCGCGGGAGGTGACTACAGGAATGGAACCCTTGTCGCTGCAAATGCCAAGAACTTCTTCTTTAAAGGTAAACACACCCTTCACCACGACAGCATGGCCAACTCTGTCTATCGGATTGAACAGCGATATGTTGTGAAAAGTTGAAAAGTGAAAAGTTTTGCTGACCATACTAATGTCATTAGCACAGTCTGTTTAAACGTTGTCATGCTTATAACATTGCAATGGCTGTACTTGCAAAATCTACTAATATAACGGCAATCCGAATATAAAGTTTGCTAGATGTCTCATTAAATGAACCTATCTGCCTAAGATAATTGACAAATAGCTCTGACCAATTAGCATTGGGATAAGGGGTTATAAAAACGCCACTTAGTAACAAAGTTCTTCAAAGTCAAAGATCGACGTGCCCGTGTGGAAAACACGTATAACGGGTCCAGTCTGATCGACCCAGTACCAATATGTGAAGGGAGGGTCGTGGTTACCTTGCATAGACGGATAGGTCTCTCCCAGATCCGAGCGTTGAGATACGCGGGATCTATGCACGGCGAGGACAGGATGCTTGACATGACCTCTCTATTGTTAATGCATGTTTCTAAGGTCTATGAGATCAAACTTAACATTGTGTAATCTTCTGTTCTTCAGCTGTTATGGCTGCAAATACTACATCATAAATTTACGAGATGTTCGTGATATTACTCGCGTATGTTGATACTTGAATGCGCAGGAATTTCTGGCAATGCCATCATCGATGCGAATGGTGATCGCATGCCTGATTACTGGATCACTGATATGTCACCAGATGGCACTTTCATCAGAATTGCCGAGCTCATCAACACTCAACAGGGACGGCGGGTAAGAATACCCGTTAATATGATTTATCAACGTGCGAAACACGGTTCATCATACACACCGCCATACCCGTGTTAGATTCTACATCTATCGAACATATATCGAACATGCCCCTTTGCCGCCTTTGGCGTTTTCCTTGAGTGCCAGCTATACGGGGAAACCATCTCTACAGATCGGCAACCTTTCTATAAAGGCCACCTCTACGTTCACCGGTCGTTACACACAGGTTTGATTGCATTTGCAATGCGGTAGACAAGTTTCTTTTATTAATTAATTAATTAAGTGAATTTTTTTTATTAATTAATTAATTAATTAAATAATTAATTGGATCCGGATCTCACCAAAAATGTAATCAATTATAAGTTACCCCATTTCTGACCTATCCTGAAATTTATTATTAATTATTAGTTAATTAATTAATTGGATCCGGATCACCGCCAAAATCTCACAATTCTAAGTTAGGCGATTTCTGAACTATCCTGAAAATTTTATGACAATCCGTCCATAACTTTTTCAGTTAGGCTGTACACAAACCCACAAACACCCACAAACAGTCAAACACACGCCGGTGAAAACATGACCTCCTGCCAACCCCTTGGCGGAGGTAATAATATTACAGCATTAGCGAGCAAGTAGAGCTGAAATTAGCAATGACTTAGTATCAGTATATAGCTAGGATGTTACATGTTAGCAGCATTCAAACTAGTCAGCAGCGAACGTTGACCGCGCTGTGTGTATTAGCGGCATTTCATTACGTAAGGTTAGCACGGCAGCACAGTCCTCTGCCCAATAATTTACGTCATAGTGTACCACTTAGACATAAATTAGTTAACGAATCAAGGAGAAGATAAAATCAAGAGTCTGACCAATGGTCAGACATGGGGGAGGGACTGATTTATTTTGAGTAGTATATAATCGCATGCAGAACGTCGGAAAGACAAGTTTTACAGTTTTTCAGGCTCAGTACTCTACTAGTCTGTATTACCGATGCTCTGAGAATTCTAAGATGGAAGCTGACGCGCTAGAGGTTGAGGTTTGCGGTGAAAATGGAGCTTATCACAAAGCATACGTCGACAGCCTCAGAGGGCAGTGATATTAGCGTACCCGCCAAATGATGAGGACACGGACGATGACGGTTTCGATACGAACGATGAACTTCCATTGAGCCACTTCGCTACAACTCCACTGTACAACCCCACTGGATATAGAGCAACGCCGACAGCCATCGACGTCGCAGACAGCGCAATCTTCGGAGTCGGTTATATAACCTGTTCTAGTTATTGAGGATACTAAGATGATACTAGAGTGGTCTAACCATATAATACTAGACCACACGCGCAGTTATCTCTCACTAAGTTAATCCCCTAGTTGTTAATAGGACACTTTGCGAATTTCGGCAAAGACTATGCAAGATATCCATTATATTCCTTTATATATATATATATATATATATATATTATATATATATATATACTATACTTTTTCTGTTATGCAATCGGATACGGCTAATGCGATGGCACTAAAGTTTACGCGGATGTAAAGTGAATATATATTTACGAATCCAAATTAACCAAACGGTAATTAGAACCAAGCACATAATGCCGCCGGCTTTGACTATTTCATATTTGCACGCCTTACGGGCATACAAAATTTTTTACTTGTTATTTCACTGCCTACAATGCTCACACCGGTCAATACAGCCTTCCCTAACCAGGGATATTGTGGATCTCACAGCTGAGGGTTATATGATTATGTTGCAGGAATAAAATCTTTATATCGAGCGTTATGTTATTGTTGTTGATGCTACGATGCCGGGGGATAGTGCAATTAGAGAGTTGTCAGGGCCGTATAGGTTAAGTAATTCCTAGGGGGGGGGCAGTGGCGGATCCAGGATTTCATGGTGGGGGTGAGAACAGGTGGGTGGTCTGGGGTCCTCCCACAGAACTTTTGAAAATGTAGATCGCAGGAGATGGTATTTCAGGCCTTTGAGTACATGTACACGCTTCATTCTGACTACGACAATTCTCTATTAGTAGAACAATTC